GGAATCCAAAAATAATTTTTATTTTGCAAAAAACCAATGGCGTACTATTTTTTTAAATACTGAAGTCAATGCCCGTACGCACGCCACTGTTAAAGCTAAAAATTATTTTTGCATTGAAAAATATGCAACTTTATCAACTTGCGCTAAGTACTAAATATCAGTGAAATATTTGAAGCGGTTCTGAAAACATTAATTAATAACCATTTTTTCCCAAAACTTCAACACCCCGAGTTTTTGTAAGGAAACCTTTTTGGTCCATAGTTTATAGAGCAAACCAACTTTAATTTTTCATGTAGATTCACACCCTTAAATATTCGCATATCATTAAGGAACACCGTGTATAAAGTTCCTTTTTAGAAACCAAAAGACAGACAGAGGAATTTGATGTGTGGTTAAACGTTAGCGAAAAAGTGATAAAAAATAAAAGTACTCATCATTCAGTTGCAGAGAAATTTCGAACACGGTTCTGTCACTTATAAGTAAAATGTAGAAGGTCTAAAAAGTGTAAACCGTATAGCCGATTCACGAAAATAAAAGGTCCAAAGAACATACCAATTACCATGCCAGCCCTAATATTCAAAGAATTTTTTTTATTAAGAATGTAACCGACGGACTGCGTGCGGATTTTCCAAAGACTACACAAGAGTATTTCGGTAGTTATACCTCCCATTACACGTGAAGGTTGATTCGTCCGTGATTAAAACGTCCCAAGAGCACGCACACTTGCAGGGAAATCGTCAGTTTGGATGAGGGGTTATACAGACGGTACAAACCGTTATCACGCAGCGCTTGCCATGCTTGTTTCCTAAAAACTCGCTCTTGTCTAGTCACTTCACTAGTGTTTGTTGAAGGATTTTCTTCTACAAGGTTCGGGCTTGTCTAGTCACTTCACTAGTGTTTGTTGAAGGATTTTCTTCTACAAGGTTCGGGCTTGTCTAGTCTACTGTGTCCACCTCGACATTGCTGTATTCCTAGCTCCGTGCACAAGGTAAACAAATTTGCGCGGCTCTGACTGATAATCCATGGGAAAGCGATCTGCATACACTCGCGAAGCCACGGTAGAATTTTGAGGACACTCATCTGAAGTTGAATTAATGATACAAGTCCGATACTGCTGTACGAATGTGCCTTTTTCAAACTGATTGGTAAATTAATGTTTTGTTTATCTACTCTGACGTTGCCTGAGTTGAGTACTGATGCGCGTCGCGCCTTCACACCGTTGATTGACTGAAATACAGGAGAATTGGGATTGGTTCAGGTTTAACTGATTTTGCAGAGCCTAATATGTCTTCGGGTCCTAGGAAAAAACCCTTGTTTTTTGAGATCTGTAGGCCGTGTAAACAAAACCCTCAACCTTGCGGACACGCTATACAGTGTATTCCTTAATGATATGCGAATATTTAAGGATGTGAATCTACATGAAAAATTACTTTTAGTTTGCTCTATAAACTATGGTCCAAAAATGTTTCCTTACAAAAACTCGGGGTATTGAAGTTTTAGGGAAAAAATGGAAATTCATTGATATTTTCAGAACCGCTTCAGATATTCCACTGATATTTAGTACGTAGTTAAAGTTAATAAAGCTGCATATTCTTCTATGCAAAAATAATTTTTAGCTTTAACAGTGGCGCGCGTACGGGTATTGACTTCGATATTGTTTGAAAAAAATGGCACACCAACGGTTTTTTGCCAAATAAAAATTATTTCTGGATTCCCCGTTCAAAAAAAACATTTTTGAGTAAAAAAATAAAAACCGTTCTACTGTCCGAGAAAGTTAATGTAATAATTGAAGAATGCAATTTAGCAATAAATATCTAGTTGCTCTGGAATATGTCACTGCCTTTTGACATGTGACAAGTCTCTGTTATTCAAACCTGTCCGCTGTGACATCTTTTTCATTATTTAGTTTCTACAATCTTGTTAATAATGGAAATTGTTCAAATGCAGAAATGGCGGAAATGCATTACGTGTATGGCCTTGCCGACGGTAATGGTGAGCAAGCCAGTGGGATTTCTCACCTGAGATACCCCGATCGCGCTTTGCCAGATAGTCGAACCTTTTCTAATAGTCACCGTCGTCTTGTTGAAACTGGTTCTGTCCCAAAAGAAACATCTGAAGGTAGACCTCTGAGTGTGAGATCACCAGAAATTGAGAAAGCAGTGCTGCACGAAGTCGAAGAACATCCTGAAACGAGTACGAGGAAGATCGCTGGACACTTAAATATTTGCCATCAAATTGTTTGGAGAATTTTAGTGAATCTTTTGTTATATCCATACCATATTTTAAGAGTACAAGCATTACTTCCCATTGATTTTCCAAGGCGTGTGACCTTTTGTCAGTGGTATCTCCAAAAAAGTTTTCTCGAAATGCAATTCAGAATTTCCACAGTAATCATGCCGTAGCCTAAACCTATTTCCAACACCAATTTTCAGGTAACGCATGGGCAGGAATTATTGGCAACCACTTTATTGGCCCATTCTTCTTGCCGGGACGACATGACAGACAGACATACCTCAATTTTCTTCAACAGCAGTTGTTTTTCCTGCTTCATAATGTTCCGTAAGTAATAAGAAACAATACGTGGTACATGCATGATCGTGCGCCAGCACATTTCAGTGTAGCGGTTCGTAATTATTTACAAACTGTTTATTCAAATCGTTGGATTGACCGCGGTGGGCCCCAAGAATGGCCACCAGGGTCCCCAGACCTCAACAATTTAGATTTCCTTTTGTGGGGCTATCTTAAGACACTAGTGTACGCACGTCCCGTTAGCACCTTAGGCGATTATATCCTGCTTATATCCAGAAAAACATCACAACCTGCAGAACACAAATTGAACGTAATGGCGAAATGGGTACATTTCACGGGTCATGAAATTCAAATGAAAATGCAGGTATAAGATCTACCAAATTATCGTTCTCCAAAACATATTTCCATGACATATCGATAATTTTAAAGTTCCACGCTAAATTCCCCTATACTTGACTGGAGTGATATCCGAATTAATTCTTCCGTACTGTCGGCAGTTGCAGATATGTTAGATCTGTTGGCTCTTGGTGTCAAATCTATAGAGCAGGTACCGATTATTCACACATTATTCGTCGGATTTTCGTTTCTTAAATTTCCTGTAATCACTGGGATCAGACGCTTCTTAATAATAGCACGTGTTTCACTGATATCAAAGATGCCACATTCAGTATCACCTTCCCCCAACCCCCACTTTTTAAGCAGTACAATTTTTTTCTGTCAATGATAAGCAACCCCTGTAACGTCAAAAACGGAGTTTCGGCAATTGTTACTTTTTCTTTTTTGCCTATAGCACCGTTGCCACTGGACTAAAACTACAAAGCTTGGCCATACTAGTAACCCCGTTTGGAAGTTTCATAAAATCCAAGTTGATGGGTGATACAGTTTTACGTGATGTAGATGTCATATGACTTAAAAAACATAACATCTCATTTTAGAAATTCTTCGCGATTACAATACTTCCTCGCTAACGACGTGGGAAGTAAAACGGCTTTAAAATCGAGGAGTATCAGCGATCGCGATTATGCAGAACGACTTATCTACGCGATGTTATATGAAATAGGGCCACCAAATTATCGGAATACGTCCTTTCTTAGTCCGTACATTGCGCCGCAACGCTTGGGATGGCATCACGAAACGGTAGACAAAATTCGTCCAAAATACGATTTGTAGAGGTTTGCGCGCTTCGAAATTGACGCTTTATTTTTTGATATTTTTGGATGAAATTTTCACTGAGTGCTGAAAACAAAACCCCACAGGGTGCTATAGAGACACTTTTTCATTCTTTTCGCTAGGTTCTTTATAAAAAAATCGTGAAGTTCAACAGAAAACGTACGCACTTCAACCCATCATAAAACTTGTGCAAAAAAAAAATTTCAAAGAGTGCTCCTATAGCACCCTGGCCAATTATCTTCTCTACATACTGTATGAATTTCATTCAAAAATATTGAAAAATGCAGTGTCAGTTTTGAAGCAGCTGAACCCTTGTTAATGGCTTGAAACTCACTGCGTCGGAGCCGCCTTCTAACCTCAAAAGTAGATAAACTCTATCCAAATTGATTACATTATATTTTGCTGTTGCAGTTTGGAGCTCAGATTAACAATCAGGGTCTTGAAAAGTTCTTCGGAAAAAGCAGGAATATTGACTGTCCATGGAGAATCTTGTGAAGCGCTTCCTTTTCGTTTATTTTCAAACTATATTTTTGTCCATTACCTATAAACGTGTATTCAACCTACGTGCTTGCCCGCCAGATATGGATACGACTACCAGAGTATGCAATAAATACTTTTTCAATTGTTGTTATCTGTAACTCGATGTATTATAATATAAATTGCCAAACACAAGTTGGATCTCACTTGGGGCTTATATCTATAAATCCAGTAAACATCCACATTCGACCCATGGGTACACTTAATCAATTAAGTCACGAGTTGTTTAATTGTATTAGTTTCCAGCAATCGCTGTGGGGATCTACACATCGGAAAATCCCCATACGGTGTATGGTCAGGGAAAAAATAAAGTAGGCCTGACTCTGTAGTTCCGACACAGCAATACAGAGTGGCCTCATATGTAGTCACCCTCTCGAATTTGCATACAGAGCATAAAAATAAAATTTGGAATATAGGAATACCCTAGTCCGTTTTAGCCCTATGGGCCAACGGGGGTTTTTTTAGCGATTTTATACTCAAATGCATGTTACTCGTATGTCAGCGTCGCTTATGTATACGAGGGATGTACTTTAAGTTTTGCATATAGGAACATAGTAGGCCGCGCGTATCGAACATCAGTACTGAGTACTCTTTAGTAAACTTAAATTCAAAGTTTCACAACGGTACGTGCAGTGTTTTCCCTACAGTTAATTTTTAAGTGTCACCAAGTCATTAGAAAAATGGATCTCAAACGAGAACATTTCCGCGCCATAATTTATTACAACTCTCAGAGACAATAATCGCAACAAGAATGCCTTGCTGAGTTACTGTCTGTTTTCGGCAACGAAGCGCCACATCAGTCGACAATTTCCCGATGGTATGGAGAATTCAAACGGCAGTCACCCAGGAAAACGTGACATGTGACATATCGCGAGACTGACGCATCCTTGAAGATCTCAAAAACTTCAACTCAAAAAATTTTACATCAAGAATTAGGAGCAAGAAAATTAGTTTCTCGTTGGATACCCGACCTGTTGACTGAGAAAGCAGCCAGGGTTAATTGGTGTCAAAAAACGCTTGACCGTTTCAATTCCGGAAACTCATAAAATGTGTACAGCATTGTCGGTGGTGTTGAATCGTGGATCCACTGTTATGAACCAGAAAATAAATGACAGTAGGCTGTTTGGGTCTTCCAAGGTGAAGAAAAGCCAACAAAAGTCATCCGTTTTCGAAGTGTTTCGAAAAAGGTGGTCGCGACATCATGTCAAAAGCGGGTCATATTGAAACAATTTCTCTTAACGAGCAAAGAACTGTTACTGCGGATTGGTATGCCATCACTTATTTGCCAAAAGTCATCACCGATCTTCGAAAAATCAACCCCGAAAGGAGAATCATCCTCCACCAAGATAATGCAAGCTCGCCCACAGCCCAAAAAACAAGGCAGTATTTAACGGATGGAAACGTGGAATTATTGGACCATCCTCCATATAGTCCCGATCTAAGTCCTAACGATTTCTTCACTTTCCGGAAAATTAAAAACAGACTGCGTGGTCAAAGGTTCCAGCCACCAGAAGAAGCAGTTGACGCATTCAAAAATGCCGTTTTGGTTCTGCCAGCAAACGAGTGGAATAAGTGCTTGGTTCGAGCGCATGCAGGTGTGTATTAATCTTCGTGGAGAATACTTCGAAAGTCAGTAAAGTCATTTAAACTACCTACCGTGTTGTTTTATTTATATATGCAAAACTTAAAAGACATCCCTCGTATGCAGCGAAATGATCCTATTATGATCCTATTATATGCTTAGTCAAATTAATGAAGTTGATGAGATATATACGCTATTATCGCAGTGAAGACTTTTAACTGTAATTCACTTCGTACGCTACTGAATGAGGAAGTATTGTAGTGGCAAAATATTTCGAAAATAATATATAGCAGTTTTTGGATGTTACATGAGATGCACGTCACGAAAATCCATGTCACTCATTTCCGTCGGTTTGTTTGTCTATCTGTCAGTGTGCCCGCTAATCTTTGGACCACCAATAACCACTAGGAGTTGGATGAGGTTTTCAATCTTAGTTACTATCATGCCAGGGACGAAAATGCTTTTGAAAATCGGTCCAGTAGCGGCCGACCTAAGGGCGAAAACCTGACAAAAATAAAAAATGATCAAACTCCCTTTTTCGACGTTTCCTATTGATTTTCAGAAAAATATGATAGTTATTGACATTCGGTAGTTGGGGGTTTTAGGGGTTAGAAGCCGTAAATGAGATTTTTTTTATATTATTATATTCTTACACTCCGAACCTCGATAATTTTATGCATCTATTAGCCATATTTTGCACATCATAGATTCTCCCGTGCCTTGAACAACTTGAATGTTTTCTACCGGCATGCTCCTGCTATCTGAGCTCACTGCCTGGCATACTGGTCATACTGCAGCACACAGAACATATAGACGGAATGAACAATAAGTCGCTGCAGTGGTGCCGCAGTGGACGCTGGGAATAGACAGTAACTTCGGGTAGGGCAGGAAAATAAATATTCTACGGACCAATTGTACGGTGTTGTTTGACTGACTTGACCCATTTAATTTCTCAAAGAACTTAAACTGTGCGGAACTTAATCCTTTATAAGAAGTGCAGAGTCAACCTACTGAACGCCATGTTTGATTGGATGTTTTGTTTCTGATATCTCATTTATGGTATTCAAATGTTGAACCTAATTGTATCCTAACTGACCATAAACATTTACAACTTATACAGGGTGGTTCACAAGTCATTACCAAAAATGGACGTCATACACAGGACCGCATTTTAAGGGCTTCATTAAAAAGATACGGGGTGCTGAAGTTTAAAAATAAAAAACATTTTTTTTAATATCTCCAAAATCGTCAACTGGAATGTACTAAAATTTGGTATGTGCATTTACGTAAGTATCGCAACACTCAAAAGTCCTTTCTTGAAATTATGGTGCACCAGTGGCGGAGATGCAGGGGATTAGTGGCATTAATTTTTCCAAAATAAAATAAGTGCCCAATTTTACCTACAATTCGCTACGAATAATTACTCCTCCTGTGTTTTTTCCTTGAGTGCATTGTTTTCGCAGAAATAAAACGAATTAGATCATTCGTGAAGAGCCAAGGTACAATTAGCTTCAAAATACAATACGAGGCCTTGACACCAACTTGGCGTTTCTTGTGAGGTAGTTTGTTAAAGTTATGCGTTCTACGGTTGTTATCGTTACTCGAGAAGAAAATGTTACACAGAAAACCCCATCAAAATGCGGTACTGTGTACGATGTTTCATCTTTGGTCACGACTTGTGTATCACCCTGTAGATCCGCACGTAGTTAAAGTATCCTCCCCTTATATTTTAGCTTTACCACCGTCTATAAAGGGTCTAACTTTGTTTCGCCTATGTTGCAAAGTTGATACTTCAAACATTCGATCTTCTCAGATATACAGGGTGTTCTTTAATGATATGCGCATATTTAAAGGTGTGAATCGACATGAAAAATTGAGTTAGTTTGCTTTATGTACTATGGTCCAAAAATGTTTCCTTACAATAACTTGGGGTGTTGAAGTTTTAGGAAAAACATGGACATTACTGTTTTCAGAACCGCTTCAGATATTTCACTGATATCTAGTACGTAGTGACAGCTACTGAAGTTGCATATTTTTCAACGCAAAAATAATTTGTAGCTTTAACAGTGCCGTGCATACGGGTATTGAATATGATATTTTTAAAGAAAAAAATAGTACGCTAACGGTTTTTTACCAAATAAAAAATATTTTTGAATGCCCCGTTCAATTTAAAGCAAATAATCTCTCCTGAGTTGCTTTCCTTCGATGCGCCATTTTTAAGTAAAAATATAAAAGCCGTTCTATTGTCCGAGAAAATTAATGTAATAATTGAAGAATGCAATTTTGCAATAAATAGTTGCCCTGGAATATGTCACTGGCTTTTTACATCTGACAAGTCTCTGTTATTCAAATATGTTTGCTGTCTTGCATCTTATTCATTATTTAGCTTTTACAACCTTGTTAATAATGCTGAATTATTCAAATGCAGAAATGGCGGAAATGCATTACGTATATGGCCTTGCCGACGGTAACGGTGAGCAAGCCAGACGGATTTATAACCAGATATATCCCGATCGTGCTTTGCCAGATAGTAGAACCGTTTCTAATATTTACCGTCGTCTTGTTTAAACGGGTTCTGTCCCAAAAAGGAACATCTGAAGGTAGACCTCTAAGTGTGAGAACACCTGAAATTGAGGAGGCAGTGCTGCACGAAGTCCAAGAACATCTTGAAGCGAGTACGAGGAAGATCGCTAGATAATTAAATGTTTGCCATCAAATTGTTTAGAGAATTTTAGTGGATTTTTTGTTATATCCTTACCATATTTTAAGAGTACAGGCATTACTGCCCATTGGTTCTCCAAGGTGTGTGACCTTTTGTCAGTGGTAGCTTCAAAAAATTAAATTACACAAAATACGCAATTTGAATCAATGACTCACTTCACGGGCGAAGCTAGTTTTTCTCGAAATGCCATTCAGAATTTCCACAATAATAATTTTTGGGCACTAGTGTACACAAGTCTCATTAACACTGCAGAGGAATTAAGATCAAGAATACTTGCAGCTTGTGATAGAATGAAAAACACTCCAGGGATATTTCAACGAGTGCGCAATTCCATGACAAGGAGGGCGAAGCATGTGTACTAAGTGAAGGGGACCATTTTCAACAATTTTTGTAATCATTTCCTTGGTTTCAATGTTATGTTTATGTTGTCAGTTGTTGTTGTTCATTACCCCTAATGTGTTTAATTTTTCCAATTGAATTAATAATAATTTTGCAAGTTAGACAATAGAACGGTTCTTATTTTTTACTCAAAAATGGCGCATGGAATGAAAACAATTTAAGAAGGACCATACGTTTGAAATTTAACGGGAAATTTGAAAACAATGTTTACTTGGCAAAAAACCATTGGCGTACCATATTGTTCTTAAAAAATATCGAAGCCAATACCCGTACGCACGCCACTGTTAAAGCTAAAAATTATTTTTGCCTTGAAAATTATGCAACTTTATTAACTTTTACTACCCACTTAATATCAGTGAAATATCTGAAGCGGTTCTGAAAATATTACTTAATTTCCATTTTTTCCTAAAACTTCAACACCCCGAGTTTTTGTAAGGAAACATTTTTGGACCGTAGTTTATAAAGCAAACTAACATTAGTTTTTCATGTAGATTCACACCCTTAAATATTTGCATATCATTAAGGAGCACCCTGTAGATCTCTATATTATTTCAGTACTTCTCTGGAATGTATGTATATTATGCTGGGAAGCCCCAAAAAAGATGAAACTTCATGTTCTACGAACATGTGGCCAGATAAGATCAAAAGGAATTCATGTTACTAGAAGACAACTGCTTCAAGATAATTGCGTTGGATTATGTGCTCGTAAAACTAAGGAACCTAACCAAACAACTACATAAACCCCGCATTGACACGCGTCACGTACGTGAGTTATTCCACGTCGAGTTATAGAAAGAAACTCCCGACCCGCAATCAGTTGGATCCGGTTCCGCTAAAGTAGATCACGACTGCTCGACGGGAAATATATTTTTAGATTAGAGAAACAATTTATCGAATGATCGTGGAGATACATCTTAATACATCAGAGGGAGGCATAACCAAGACGTATGGAGACAAATGGCTTTCCCTCCGGCACGCCGGGCGCCTGTCTTTTTCTTTACTTTTCTATCCAGAATCACAAAAGGGGCTGCAATGTGGAAATTTCGGGCGTATTTGCGTTTACGCGAGAAACAAAAGATGATGAAAAGGCGGTTCTCATCAATTTCGTAATTGACTTGACTGTTGTAAACACAAATGAATTATGAAGTGGTCGCCGCTGTTCTTTACCGGTGGGTGCTATTATAATGTAACGGTGGCAGCAAAATTAGTTAGTATCCAAGGTCGTTGACGGTAAATATAATCGATGTAATCTGGGAGGTCACGCTCTTTTAATAGCTTTTTAGAATAATGGAACTGATACACAGTGTCTATATTGACAAAAGAATAAATGACGTAAAATGGGTTGTCTATGTGATACTACTATTCGTCGTTGCTTCTCAAGGCGGTCCGGAGGACGTAAGTCTTTAGGTCACAGTCCCCGGTATGTCAGTGTCTGTCGTCAGTATGTCAGGTGTGGTGGCCCAGAAACCAGACAAGCTATGGGGAAAGGGGTGAGGGTGAAAGAAAGGAAGAAAGTAGGAGCGAGAAGAGAAAAAAAAGCAATTGCTTTGTGTAAACATTTGAGGTGTGATAGATCTGAGAACTGTTACATTGTACTATATAAATTTTCGACTTGTTCTGAACTGAATTTTGGGCCTTTTCCTTTTTGAAAACTATAATTTGTAAAGGTCTGAACATTGATTTAATTTTATTCATAGTGCTAGTAGCGGCCTAGAATGCTTGCGTATCTCCTCGACTGTGTAATCCACTGCTTCACGTAACAAAGGGTTGCTGTGCGATTCCGCTTGCTGGTAGCGCCGTTGTGTCATACCTATGATGTAATCCCTAAGGTAGGGGA